TCGGGCACCGAGTAGCAGATCTGTTCTGCCCGGGTTTCCCACAGAGTCCGGAGGAGTATGCAGATGCAGAGCAGTGCTTTGTAGCCTGGTGAGTGAAGAGGAGCCGCCATTGCCTTCCCGCTGCGGATATCCCGAGCTGGGGTGTTTCTCCGTGGAGCCCCAAGGAGCCCTATGACCGCTGTGTTCCCTAATGATGTTCTTTGGCCATAGGATGCTGGCACTCACGGGGATCCAGGCTGAAGCTTTCCTAAAGCCCCAGAACCAGTGGCTTTGAGCTGCAGAAATCTCGTTTTGGTATTTCAGGTTGTCTTTTCCCCCGGATTGGTGAACAGCGACGCTCAGAGTCCTAACCTGTTATTGCAACGTGTTCTTTTATACGCCTTTCGTATTCGTAATCCTACTTTTACCCAATAGACTAAAACTCTAAATTGCGTTGTTTAACTTGTAGTGAAAATCCAGGAATGATCCAAATTTCCGTGTATTAGGTAAAAGTGTAAGGTATTTATGATTCAGGAAAGTGGTGATTTTTTTGGCACTTTTTAATGCTTCCTTTCAGTTTTCCATTGTTCAATCTCCATAGGCTTCTTCTTCTTCTTCTTTTTTTTTTTTTTTTTTTTTTTGGTATGTGTAGTGTGCTGTGTATGTGTAGTACATGTATTTCCCCAGGGACAAGAGCGAACTTGAAAGGTGTAGGAAAATGGTGGATGAAAAGTCAGTAGTGGGCCTTTTCTTGGAAGGCCAGCTTTGGTGCCCATCCACAAAGAGTTGTTTCTTCATCTGCATTTATCTTCTAGAACCATGGGCTATCTTTCAATTGTTTTGCAACAAGATGCCTGTAGTTTGAGGGATAGTCTTACCTTTCTGTGAAATAGGCTTGGCATGATTGATTTGGAACTTTGGCATAAAATTTGCTGACAATTTTTGTAAAGAGAAGATTCTAATCTACATGATATGCGTGTGATTGTTTCCTTCACAGTGTATCTTTACAATGGTAACTTTCACAAAATATGTGCTAAACAATATTTTCAGTGTTTAATGAATGAAGTACCAAAGCAAATGCAAAGCCTTAATCAATGGGTACAAAGCAGTAGGCTGACGTACTATAAAGAGCAGACAATATTTCTGTGACTTTTAAAAATATCAGACACCTCCTGTAGTCTTATTCAACCATCACATGTGATGTCATTTTACCATTATTTTGCTTTCTTTTCTGTTTTCTTTCCCTTTTTTTTTTTTGGCAGAACCGGGGATTGAACTCAGATCCTTGCATTTGCCAGTCAAGTGCTTATCCTACTGAACCATCTCCCCAGCCCCTCTTTTCTGTTTTCTTGAGACACGGTCTTGCTATGTAGTCCAAGGTGTCTTGAACTCATGGTGATCCTCCTGCCTCAACCTCATGCTGGGATTATAGGTCTACACCATCATGTCTGGCTATTTTTATTTCTTTAGTTTTGATTTTAGAAACATGCAGTAAAAGGAAATATTTTAGTAGCTGTCTATTCATTGTTATGGAATGTGCAGTGTTTTGTGGAATTAGGGATAACTCAGGAACTCAAGCATTCTAGAGACATGCTCTACCACTGAGCTATATCCAAAATCCTCTCATGGCTTTCTTGAGTTTAGTAATTTGAAAATTTTTAGAGAAAATAGTACATCACTAGTTATTTAGGTTATACTTTATTTAACAATTAACATACCGGGTTGACTAAATTTTAAGGAGACATAAAAGTTTGCTATCTATATAGAAATTTTACATCTTAGGATTTTCAGAGAGTGGGCTAAAGGTGTTTTTTTCACAATCCTTAAAAGAGTCACTAACTGCTAGTGAGTGGGACATACAATGAAGCATTCTGGAAATAAGCTGAATGCTATGAATAGAGGTCTCAGAGTATCTTATTCCTTTCTGCTGGTGGACATTGTAGAGGAAGCATTGTCAGTCTCTCTTCCAATTGCCCTCATTTCTATGTCCGAGTCTCCCACGGAGGCTGAACAGCTACGGAAGCTCTTCATTGGAGGGCTGACCTTTGAAACATCTGAATAGAGTCTGAGGAGCCATTCTGAGCAATGGGGAACACTCATTGACTGCACAGTAATGAGAGAGCCAAAGACCAAGCGTCCCAGGGGCTTTGGGTTTGTCACTTATGCCACTGTGGAGTAGGTGGGTACAGCCATGGATGCAAGGCCACACAAAGTGGATGGAAGAGTTGTGGAACCAAAGAGACCTATCTGAAGAGAAGATTCTGAGGGACCATGTGCTCACTTAACAGTGAAGAAGACCTTTGTTGAGGGCATTAAAAAGATACTGAAGAACATCACCTACGAGACTATTTTGAGCAATATGGAAAAATGGAAGTGATTAAAATCATGACTGACAGAGGCAGAGGAAATAAGACTGGCTTTGCTTTTGTAACCTTTGATGATCTTTGTGGATAAGATTGTCATTCAAAGACACCACACTGAGAACAGCTACAATTGTGAAGTGAGGAAAGGCCTGTCGAAGCAGATGGCTAGTGCTTCATCTAACCAAAGAGGTCGACGTGGTTGTGTAAATTTTGGTGATGGTCCTGAAGATGGTTTTGGTGGCAATGACAGTTTTGGTTGTGGAGGAAACTTCTGTGGTCGAGGTGGCTTTGGTAGCAGCTGTGGTGGGGGTGGATATGGTGGCACTGGAGATGGCTACAATGGATTTGTAATGATGGAAGCAATTATGGTGGTGGTTGGTGGAAGCTATAATGAATTTGGCAATTACAACAGTCAGTCTTCAAATTTTGGACCCATGAAGGGAGGAAACTTTGGAGGCAGAAGCTCTGAGCCCTATGATGGTGGAGGCCAATATTTTACCAAACCATGAAGTTAAGGTGGCTATGGTGGCTCCAGCAGCAGCAGTAGCTATGGCAGTGGCAGAAGATTTTAAACATTTCTGGGAAACAAACCTTAGCAGGAGAGCAGAGCCAGTGAAGAGACAAGGAAGCTACAGGTTACAACAGATTTGTGAACTCAGCCAAGCACAGTGGTGGCAGGGCTTAGCTGCTACAAAGAATATGTGTTTTAGACAATACTCATGCATGTGGGCAAAAAACTCAAGACTGTACTAGTGACTAATTGTATAACAGGCTATCTTAGCTTCTGTTCTGTGGAAAGTATAAAGCATTCCAACAAAGTGTTTTAATGTAGACTGTTTTGGCGCCCATGCTGTTGATTGCTAAATGTAATAGTCTGATCATGACACTAAATAAATGTCTTTTTTAAAAAAAATCTCAGAACACACATACACTTGACCGAGTTTTTTCAAAACTCTGTATGAAAGAAAGAAGAAATGTGGGAAATTCTGTATAAATAAGATGTTCATTACCTTACTTATGATACTAACACAGTAGCAAGAGCATAAAATAAATGACTACAGGGTAGTTATGCAATTTGTGGAATGTACTGTAGTGAAATTATGAGGGAATTGTAGGATCCAAAGTTAGCGATTTAATGAACAATTTGAATATTTGCTACTCATAATAAAACAGCTAAGTGTTAAGAAGCTTAGTTATTGGAGGTTTACGCTAAGCAAAGTTAGACAACTACAAATGAAATTTATGAAGAGGAACATATATTTTAACTTATATACTTACAAGAGTTAAACATGATTGCTTGAAAAAATAGTGTCACTAGGAAAAAAAGGGTAACTGATATTATCAGAAGAGTTGACATCCACAACGTCATTCTTTCTAGCAAGCTTTTTGCCAACCATACAGAATGTCAAGTTTTTCTTTAAATTTAGAAATTTATTGTTTAATACACAAGCTTCATATAGCTTTAGTTTAAAAACAAAAACTAAAAAAAACCCCAGTAAAACCAAGACACCATTTTAAAGCCCAGGCCCTTTCTTCCAGCTTTCAAGTACATGAGCTCTGAACATTATGTATCCAAATTGGAAGAATAAGACAGAAATATGAATGTAGCCATGACATTTCAGAAAAAAAGATTTCATATAACTGAAGGATCCATCCTTCCTTCCTAGGATGACCTAACTGCCTTTATAAGCAGGGGGAGAGGGGAAAAAGGGAGGGCTGTTAATAAGGGAAGGAAAAGAGAAAAGAAACAGGGAACAGAGTAGAATTCAGTACCAGTGTTCTCAATTAATGTGTCACACATCTGTATGAGCCTAGTGTCCTGGAAAACAAGCCTTCATTTCTCTGTCTCAACCTGGAGCTCAGAGCCTGATTCCTTTCAGCAGCAATTCCACAGGCAACAGGGAAGATTGTGGCTTTGGAACATCCACTAATGCTTCTGTGGTACTTCATCAGGGGTCTGATTTTGGAGTCAGATGTGCTACCATTGCACCACGAGGCCAGCCAGGGGTCTGATTTTGGACTAGCTTAAAACCATACAAGGTTGTAAGCAGAACTTAAATGGGTGTGAAGACTCAAAGAAGAAGTAAACAACAACAACAGCAAAAAAGAATGCCAACAGTAAAATACAAAAATTATTGAGCAGGTAATATCAAAGAGGATGGAGCTAATTTCAAAGATCCAAAAAGCCCATATCCCAGGTAACATCTTTAGAAACATGGATAACATTCAAAGCTAATCATGAACGATTGAGAAGTAAAAAAAATACGTAAAATTCAAACAGGCTGGAAACAATTCATGGGAGGAAAAAGAAGAGTCAAAACTCTTCAACTGCAGAAGGATCATCGCACAAGAGATACTGAGAGGGAGCCACTTCCGATGTCACATTCAGAAAATTAAACTTTGTCTTTGAAGAATGGGGGGCAATGCACAGATTGTAGGAAAATGGCAAAATCCTCTCATTGTAGTGAGAGGGAACCACGGGGCCAGACTTAGAACAGAGACCAGGCTGAAAACAGCTCCCTGGAGCTGCGCTGGAGGAGTGGAGCAGGCGCAAAGCAACCGCTAGAATCACCGCGAGGAGGAAGAGCACAGAGATCAAAGCCAAGGACCACCAGGTAAAACTGCAGCTCCTCCCGGGGGTCAGAGGGCACAGGCCCTTCGCTGAGGTCCAGCAAGACCTCTTGCAGGCTATCCGCGAACATGATGTGCAACGTGGCTATGGCCAAAACAGGAGGCTGTCTTCCGTCACGCACCGCGACCAGCAGGTGGTGTCGGGCAGCGTCTTTATCGCCTAAGGCGCGAGCGGTGCGCACCTCGCCAGTGCGCAGCCCCAGGCTGAAGAGCCCAGGGTCGCTGGCCTGCAGCACGTGGTAGGAGAGCCACGCATTGTGTCCCGAGTCAGCGTCCACAGCCACCACCTTGGTGACCAGGTAGCTGGGCTCGGCGGCTTGCGGCACCGTGTCGAAGAGCGCTGAGCCGTCGGGCTCCAGTGCGGGCTAAAGGACCCATGGCGCGTTGTTATTGCGGTCTCCCACCAGCACTTGCAGGCTCACGTTGGCGCAGGCGAGCCGTGGTCGCGGGTCTGCAGCGTGAGCTGGAAAGCGTGCAGTTGCTCGTGGTGGAATGCGCGCTGCGCGAACACCACCCCACTCTGTGCGCTCACGGACATGTAGGACAGCAGCGCTCTAGGCTCTAGGTCGCTGACCACGATGGAGTAGGAGACTTGCTCATTTGGTCCTAGATCAGAGTCAGAGGCTCTGACCTGAGCAATGGAGACCCCAGGAAGCTTGTTCTCAGCTATGTGGACCATGTAGGAGGCCTGCTGGAAAACCTGTGCATTGTCATTGACATCTGAGATGTGCTTGTGCTGGAGGAGAGGGGCAACTTACCCCTGTCAATGGCTGTGATGGTGATGTTGTACTCAGAGATCTCCTCTCGGTCTAGAGCCCTGTCTGTTAGTAGCTTGTAATAGTACTTTGAATAAGATTTCAACAGAAACCCTATATTTTCTGAGATGCGGCAGGATACATCACCATTTTCTCCCAGAGACTCTATCTCTTGTTTAAATTAAGGCGAACACTGTCCTTGGAGGTGAATCTTTTTGTAGTGGAGTAAATACTGAAGTCACAATCACCTCAGGTGCACAATCCTTCTCATCAAGAATTTCGACTTGATGTCTCTTTATCCACCCTCCATCATCCCCTTCTCAACTTTGTAGTAATTAGTGTTCTAGATTCTGGTTGACTGTAAGAATGTTGTTTGACATTGCACCTGCTTTTATGTACGCTGAGCTAATTTTATACTCCAATTATGCTTTGTCTTGCAGATTTACTACATGAAAATAATAAACTGATTTTTTTCTGTAAAAAAAAAAAGGATTTCAACTAGAAGACTGCAATGGGATGCAAGATCTCCAGGATCTTTTGTTTCTATGTTCAGGGTGTAACTATTAGCAATTGCAAAATCCAGATGATCCTTTGTCATGATTTCTCCTATCCTTCCATCTAAGTTGAACAACGGTTCTACCTGTTTGTGCACATTGCGAAAGGAGTAAGTGATCTCTGCATTAATGTCCTGGTCGGTGGCTGTCACCTGAAGCACTGAGAAACCTGGGGCAACCTTCTCTGGCAATGTGACCCTGTACATATCCTTGCTGAACACTGGAGGGTTGTCATTGATGTCAGTGACTTGAATTTGGATTTGGGTGGTGCTGCTTCGAGGTGGGTTTCCCCCATCCACAGCAGTGAGGACCAAGGGATGAAAATTATGCTCTTCTCTGTGCAGAATATGTTTCAGGATCAACTGAGGATATTTATGCCCATTGGAAGTCTGTTTCTCTGCAAGATCAAAGTACTCATTGTGATGAAGAAGATATCTTTGCAGTGAGTTAAGCCCAGCGTCTGAATCCAGGGCTGGATCTAGAGGAAATGTTTTACCTGGCTTAGTGGATTCTCCAATTTGTAAATCAGTCTTATTGTGTTTGAATAGTAGAGTGTTATCATTTATATCCTGAACAATTTCTGCTACGTGGAAAATATTCAATGGATTTTCAGCGACAACATCGAAATACACAACACACAGAAGCTGTATCTCGCAAACCTGCTCTTGGTCTATTCTGTCACTGAAAGGAAGCCCCGCTGTCTGTGTTTACAGTAAAGTATTCCTTTATTCCTTCTCTGCACTAACCCACAGTCTCTGGGCAGACAAGTCTTGCACACCGAGCTCCAGGTCCTTGGTGAGGTTTCCTACCACTGACTTCTTAGCCAGCTCCTCTGGAGTTGAATAGCGGGCCTGATCCTGGAGAGCCCAGCAGAGCAAAGACAGAAGGAAGGACAACATTACCTGCAGCCACAGAGCCCTGCTGCTCGCCTCTGGTCTTGGTCTAATCTTCTCTCTCCTTCGGCTGCTGCTCCTTTGTGGATAGGAGGAATCATTTCTCTGTGGAAAGCTGACTCCCAGTTAAGGTTACTTGAGTGTGTTTTCTGCATCTGAATTCGTACTGGTGTCTTCTGCATGATTTGTTTAAGACTCCCAAAGGCGTCTTGATTGTAGTCGTCCTTCTGTTGAACTATCGTGATGCTTAGAGGTTTTCTAATGAAACTGCACATTTATAAAGGTCTCAAAAGGTTTTTAAAATTTATTTAAGGCATTTATTTGCTTTTAAATAACTAGTATATTATATTGTTCCAAATTCAAAAGTATATATAAAAAGAAAAAATATTCATACCATAAGTTCTTAACAAGCATCCCTGAATCGTGTCACATTTTCTTCAATCTTGAAGAAAAACTTGCCTATCTTGTTTATCTTTCCAGATATGTTTTCTAGAGTGTGGCAGATTTTATAAATGTCATCCCTTATTTTGAGGCAAACACATAAGCACATGGGATATTTTATTACGAACTTTGCTTTGTTTCATTCATCATATATGTGTGTGATATACACATGAGTGTCATATATAGTAGGGAATCATATCTTGAGGACAATTTGGAATCAGTACATAAAGAAGTTTCTTAGTACATAAAGAATATTTCCAATAGCTATGCAGTAATCATCATATGGATATGTAATAATTTTTAATCAGAAATATTTGCTAAAGAAATTCAGTTCTCTTTGACCAAAACATATTTTTTCTTGTTATAATAGGCTATACATTATTGTGGCCCTTAGGTATTAAAGTACATACCACTCTGATTCTGAAATACATTCTTAATGCCGGAATCTGAATATGGTTGACCAATTTTAGGCCATTAAAAATTGCATTTCAATACCTTAGTATTTTTAATAATCTCTCCTCAGCTATGAGTCATCGCTTATATACTCACTTGCTATATTCAACTTCCTTGATCCACGTCAGCTAAATGCATCACACCTCAGTCCTATTCATTGCTACTGTACTACAACTTCTAGTGCTCAGTCACCACAGAAGATTATGAAGAAAAGCTATAACTCTTTGTAAATTAGACTGAGTTACATTCCAACACTTGCTACATGTTTATTTATTCATTTTTATCATTAAATCTGTAAGTATATTTTAAAATTCATTTTAATGAGAAAAAGTAAAATAGTAGTGAAGTAGTTTCAAAACAGAATAGTAGGACGGTTACAATAATGCATACATTGCATAGTGTTGTCTTTATATTAGTTATTCAGAAGACAAGATGCTTTAAAATCAACAAAGCAAAACTAGTGTAGACAGAGCCATTCCAGAATTCTGAAATAAATCACAGAACTATATGAAGGCACAAAGAAAGAGAGCTGCATATTGCTCATACACAAAATACTTTATCCTGTATCAGATCATTCCAGGGCAACACAGTGACAGACCTGTCTCAGACTAATTTATAGGAGCAGCAGAGGATAGGAATGAAGACAAGTTCCTAACTGACATGAGTTACAGAAGCCCAGAACACAACTGACCCAAGCTTTATCATAGGCTGACCTTATGAAAACAAGTAAGATGTCAGGGAGTTAGTTTCCCTTTTGAAATCGAAGGAGAACTCAGTAGAGATGTCATGATAAATAATTTAGAAATTAAAATGATCCCTCTAATCTACTTAAATCTAAGTGAAATAAAACGGGCGATATTTTTAGTAATCATAAGAGTAAACCAAAAGTATCACATGAAGTCCTTGTCAGTACAACTCAGATCAGATAACAACAAAAGATTTGAAGTACACCAGATCACTGAGAAGATATTTCTGTTAAAGTTATATCTAAAATTTAAATATTTTCCATAAATTGCCACTACCTTTATGTCCAGGAAGGAAAACTTCAAGGAAAGTATAGTTGAATGGGAAAAGGAGGAAATTTAAATATACTCACACTTAGTTCAACATTAGCACCACAAGAAAGAACGCTATAAATAAGAATTCATGCAACTGCCTTCTATTGTATAAGTTTAATCTATCCTTTCAATAATTCTGGAAAGTGCAAGGTCCAGAGCTGGATTCCAAGTACCCAGAAAAAACTGCACATAGGAAAATAGCATTTTAAAATGAGAATAATATAAATGTATATAATTAAGAAATTTCTGCTGAAAGCATAACTGAAAGAGGACTACAAAGGATCATGAAAAAGTAGGTCTGGATTGGTGGCTCAGTGGTAGAATATTTGCCTAGTATGTCCAGTGGTCTGGGTTTAATACTTATCATCTTCAAAGAGAAAAACAATAATGTTTTTCTGCAGTATATGTAATTAACTGCCATTGCTTCCCCCTGGAAAGCAAGACATTATTGATAAAGAGGTGTCATTACAGCCATGTTACCTGCATTATTCAACTGGAGACATTTAGAAAGGCTTGTGCCTATATCTTGCAGTCATAAGACGTGTAAAACATGGACTCACCTGAACAAGATTGGGGTCTTCTTTTGTTTCAAGTAAGTCCTGAGTGATCAGAAGAGGCTCGCTTTTCCCACAGCTCTCCTGGCTGATGAGCGTGTCAGCATAGTTGGGCTGTGGGAAGATCAGGTGGCTCTTCCGAGAGTCCGCGGTGAGGGACACCTCATGCGAATAGGTCTGCAGGAAAGCCTGCACCCCGTCCA